TTACCCATGTGTTTGCGATCAATGGCCTCGTTCTGATTACAATTATAAATATAAATAGTATGTTACATTTGTATAACGACCGTCTGGCACAGTCCTATCATATTTGTTATGAAAATAGATCCTATATTCGATTCCTAGTTGATGTTTATAAATACGAGCGGAGATTTATAAATTTTATCAGTTTAACAATAAAGACATTGTCGTATTACATAAGGCCCGATCCAGACTTTAATGTCGATCGCAGACGTTCTCGGTCTGATATCGATCTGGTAAAGTATTTTTATACAAGCTAACCATTGCTGGAGTGTGATTCAACTGGAACTGAGAATGCATTACCATTTCTTGTATAAAAATATTTTACCAGACCAAAATCCGACCGAACCGTAATTGGTACCATAGTGTGATGTGACCTTAAAATACTTTACCAGACCGATATCGGAACGAGAACGGACTGTTATCAGCGCTGTAGTATGATCGGCTCTTAGACTGCTATGCATTTATAGAGTCTAGTAATTCCATAACTGAAACGTTATTTAAATGGAATAGGTATTATTTCTGTATAATGCCGACAAATCATTATTTATATATATACTTTCACTATTAGCTTCATATGTATTTTACTAAATACCTAACTGACATAAACATAACTAGAAAATTGATTTTAACCTACTTAGAAATTATTGTCGATTTATATATAATTTAAAATTTATTACACAGCGACTTACACTCATTACGCGCGGGTGGCATCCCTAGGTACGTTTTAATTTTTTTTGAGCAATCCTATATCCTTCCCAGGGTCTCAAATTATCTTCTTACGAAATTTCATCTAAATCGGTTCGGTAGATCCAGAGATAATCCCCTACAACGTCACAAACTCACAAACTTTATCTCTTTATAATATTAGTATAGATAATACATTATTACTTACACTTACAATTTTTGAAATAATATGTTAAGATAGAGATAATATATATGTAATTGAAAAAAAACGTTATTTTACTTAAAGATACTTTTTAATCGCAGTAAGCCCGCATTATCACATCGTAAATAAGTGTGTGGAGACATATGAAAAAGAAATAATTATGTCTCTTTAAAAAAACAAGATAATACTATCAATGGAACATATGTACACACTTCGATGGTCATACCAGTTTGTCACAGCTGTGCCACAGAGTAATAATACTTATCTATACTAATATTATAAAGAGGTAAAGTTTGTGAGTTTGTGAGGTTGTAGGGTGTAATCTCTGGATCTACTGAACCGATTTAGATGACATTTGGTAAGAAGATAGATTGAGACCCTGGGAAGGACATAGGATACTTTTTATCCCGGAAATCATGCATTAGGGGGGTGAAAATGGGGGTAAAAGTTTATATAGGTTCATTATATATACAAATATTGTCGACGAAGGCAATTTGTTACAAAGTTGTATTGTAAAATATCAATATGGTAACCACGAGGTAGTATCATTTCTTACAGTGAAGGAAAACATCGTGAGTAAACCTACATACCAGATGAGAGAACCTAACAAGTTTTCGAAAGACTCCTCGTATTCAAGGGAGGTCCTGCAGTGGGACGTTAAAAAGGGCTGAATACTATACATACTCGTACAATATACTGCAGACATGTCGTCTCTTCTCTCATCTTACAAACGGCGCTGTCTGTTTGTAAACGCTCACGCCTTTGTAACATGCCGAAGGCAAATTGTGCCATGTTGGAGTGTAAAATACAGCACAGTAAATACTTAATACACTGTAATACTGTAATAAGAACTTCTAGGTTCAAGAAAAAATATGAGACTTAACGAAAAGGCTAAGGCGGGCGCTTCGCTATATTTTATGTGTATCTATGTTTCGAGACGTCTTATCTTAGCCAATTATAAATTGACTAGTATTGCCCACGGCTCCGCCTTCGTTCAGATGACCAAAAACCAAATTCTTAGGTTTTACAGTTTTTGTATTTTTTCTTAGAAATGAGACATTTTTCCGCGGTAAAAAGTATACTATATGTTGACCCGGCTAATCAGCTATCACCATACCAAACATCAAAATCCCTCCTATGGTTTTTCTGTGATGCGATAACAGACAAACAGACAATAATTCTAAACACTATAGATTCGGCTTCTATATCGATAAAAATGTTTATTTCAATAAGATTTTCCAAAAAATATTTAATGTAAATGTAATGTATAGATTCGGCTTACAATTTTATTATATGTATAAATTTTAATTCTTTCTTTAATAAACAGTAGTGCCAAGTTAATTGAAATTTTATTTATAAGTAGTTTAACAATATTAATTGTATCGTTTCTGGCTAATCTAAATATGAAAGACTTAATTGGAGTAAATTTTTTGCAATCACCAGTTAAATATAGATAAAATTATCAAATACGTTATCATTTTAATAAACCAAAGTCATTTCTTATAAGTAATAACTAGAAAGCAATTTGTGGATTTGACTCCATACTACTAAATGAAACTTTAAACTGTAGAACCATAGAATATTCAACTTTTTAAGAATAGATATGTGTTATTGTAGTAGCTGCCGCATAATAAAATAAACGGGGAAAACAACATTGATCTAAAGGTGTAATTATATTGCAATATGGTCAGGATAAAACTATTACTTAACAAGATTACTATACATGGTATAATAAGCCGTATGTAAAAATTGTAATGTTAAAGAAAAAAATAGTATTTCTTGTCACGAGCTCCATAAATTCGATAATAATGTACACAAAATTTAATATTTTTTATCAACACTCCGATCAAAATGGTGTAAGTAAGGGTCAAAAAATCCTACATTTCGATAGGATCAGTGCCTTAGCACCGCCCCTGGGCACTATAAAAATGCCGCCCTATTATCGAAAGTTTAATTTTTTTCATTATTATTTTTTTGTAAAATGATAAAAAAATTAAAATGATATCAATTTTTCGAAAAATGTACCTACCAGTTAATGTTTTTTAAATTTCTCATTTTTTGCAAAATAAAAAAAGCATTTTCACGAAGATTTTTTTCCCGCCCTTCGAATTTTGCCGCCCTGGGCACTAGCCCCGAGTGCCCCTAGTGTAAATCCAGCACTGGGCAGGATGCACACATTCCAATAACGAATGGATAACCATTATAAAAGTATTATTTGGAATTCTCCGCAGAAATAATAAGTATATCAGTATTTTTGGGAAGTGCCAAATTAAAAAACAACACCTAAGCAAAACTTTGGCAAGTCTTTACTTATGTAATAGGACTGTTAGATTCACTTAACATAACCAGATCCGTAGTTATTGCGTGATGCACGAACATAGATAGCTAATTTGCTATATCATAAAAGATGATTATTGAGATTAACTCTCCATAACAGACCTCGTTGCAGTTTTGTTTTTAAAGCTTAGAGTTCATTTTGTTTTCTTTCACTTTCCCGCTCATTCACATAAATATACATATGTACCTATGTAATATGTAAAGTGACGCCGCGCCGGTCCCTAGTTAAAGAAGGGCAAACTAACAAACACATTTTATTCTTTTATTTTAATATTATTTTTATTTAAATAGCCAGCCAACGTAATATACAAAGTATTTTATGCTAACTCATTTAAAAATTTATAATTAGTACATACAAAAATGGCACAAAAACAGTACAGTACAAAAAAGCTAACTCAACATGTTTAGTTTTAACGAATTTACTATCATACTAGCAATGATTAAATAAAATTAATAAAAAATAAGAAATAAATGATTAAATAAAAAAAAAATATTTTTGATATCTGTACTTGCGTGTTCAAATAATATTTTTGACTCAGAAAATGATATATAACTCTGCGTACATTGACATCACGAAAATTGCTACTTAATATGTATTTGCATTCAGTTTGAACTTTGATTGTTTATAAAGGTTATGAGAGTCTGAATCAGCCAAACTAAATAATGCTTGCTAACATTATAAACGCTAAAATTAGTCTTTATTTGAGTACTAAGTACTTTTTTTTTTTTGTGAGTTTATAGTATAAAAAAATGCATTAAAGAGATGTTTGAAAATAATTTAAGTCATATTAATAGTAATTATAGTTTAGTATATATAACACTCAAGTAAATATACTAGACTTCCAACGAACATTCGGCTCTTATTCGGTATTCGTCCTATTCGGCTACTTTTTTCCTATTCAGCCTAATACCGAATATCTAGATACTACTCAGCCGAATACCGATTATTTAAGTAATATGTTTTGTTGTAATCAGATAATTGGTAAAAAGAAAATGTTGATTTATTTTATAATAATATACTTTTCATATAATCATTAAAGTAATCATAGATACATAATGAAGTTCTGCATTACAAAAATTAACCAAAAAAAAAAACAATAAATAAATTTCAATGCACTTGCATTATCATAGTTAAAATTTTGAAGTGAAAACCCAGCTTTACAGAAACGACGCTCTGAAAGTAAGTAATACTACTTCCTGGCGCCAAACAAGAAACAAACAGGTCGATACAAGTTTTCCCACCATGAGTTTTACGCTGGCCGAATACTTTTACCTAATAATCGGCTATTCGACCAGAAAGCCCACCGAACATTCGATATTCGGCGTGTTGCCGAATATACTATTCGTTGAAAGTCTAGTACCTATATACTATATATTTTTTATTTATTGGCTGGATGATTTTCATGAGATTTGTTTTCCTTTTACAGTTTTAGTCTGAATAAAAAAGTCTGAATAAAAAGATCGAGGATGAATCTTTAGTTTTATGTAAAGAAATAACCTAAATCACTATATTGTTATATATACTTCAATAATTTAGTAAATTTACCTGATAAATCATATTTCCAATAGTTGTTTTTGAAATATTTATAGGCAAAGATAAAATGTCGACTCCGCAATTTTATTCTTGCAAAGCGGTGTTTTGTTAACCCACATAAATGTTACTATAAATAATTACAGAATAAGAAATAAAAATATAAATAGAAAGAAATCACGTACCAAACGTTAACATCAGCTAACTTACCATTTTGATTGTTTTTTTTTAATTCAGCACACATCCACCTTTGTCTGAATAACAATTGCACCTTTGTCACTGATTAAAAAAAACTTTTTTGAATTTTAGACGTCCATTGTACCATGCGTCCGACCGACGCGACCGTACGTACTCGTACTGCGATACCGAACATGTGGATATATGCAAATGAATAAAAATAATTAAAATTTAACCTAATCCCTTTCATAATAAAGTCTAAAATGTTATAAAATAGCCTTTATGTTTGGTATTATCACGAAGGCGAGATGTTTCGGATTTCTAAATTAAACTTAACTTTAGTAGTTAACGGTAACATACAGCATACTATTTGTCACTAATGTTATCGTTATACTCCGACTCCGCACGCGTAGTCTACACATATAATAAAATTGTAGCTAAGCCGAATCTGTACATAAAATATTTTTAGGAAAATCTTATTGAAATAAACATTATTATCCATATAGAGGCCGATCTATAGTTTTTAGAATTTTTGTCTGTCTGTTACCGTATCACAGAAAAACTAGTGGAGGAATTTTAATGAAATTTGGTATGGTGATAGCTGGTTATCCGGGTCAACATATAGGATTCTTTTTACCGCGGGAAAATATCTCATTTTTGAGAAAACATACAAAAACTGCAATGTAAGAGTATACATATTAATGTAAAACCTAATCATTTGGTTTTTGATCATCTGAACGCGAGCGGAGTCGCGGGCAATGCTAGTATAATCTATGTAAATATAAATGAATCACCTAAATGTATGTATACGCATAACTTCGGATCGACTGCACCAAATGGGATAATCCTTTCTTTTGTTTCTTATTGTCAGGACAAGCTTTGCATAGAAGAAATTAAAAAAAAAAGTTAATATTAAATAATATTTTGTGTTATGTAATAAAAAAGTACATATCACATGAACATCTAAAAAAATACAATTTGCATAACAAGATTCGAGAATTTAGTTCTGCTTTTTTTCATGCGATAACTATAATTTCCAATTTAAAAAGTTATTAAAAATCATTTACCTATTCCTAACTCTTTTTTTCTTGTTTGTTGAATGATTAAAAACAACTTACTTTCATTTGAGACGTCATATAGAAAGTAATTTTAAGTTTTATTTTTAAATGCTTTTAATAGCAATATTAAAAAAGGTTTCAACTTTCATTCAACGCTTATCAACCGTCAACAAAATGGCATAAACTGTTGAAAGTGAAAACAAAACCATACTAAATAATAGGCACCTCGGTGACTACACGTGGTTTTAAGCGCAGTGCGGCAAATGTACGGACTGACGGCAAGAACTTTTATCGACTCCTTGCTCCTTGACCTCTAACTAAAAGCTACATACGTACATATAAATTGGCTTTAAGTGACGCTAAAAAAATTTTACGTTCTGCCTTATAAAAACTCGTACTTACTTATTAAGTTTTTTTTATATATTCTTTTAGAAAACTTTTAAAACTTTATTCAATCAGACTGCGATATTGTTATCAACTATTTATTTACTTATTATACATAAAACATGAATTTAACAATAATAATATTTCGCTTTTTTTATATAATTTTAATTTAAAAGTATTTCATTTAACAGCTTTTTATAGAAGTATTTCATTTAAATTTTATGTATTTACGGGTATATAAGGAGCCATTTAAGTTGTACAACAACCAAAAAAAAACAAAAAAGTTTCCCAAGCGAGCGTATTACCACTGGGCTACCACTGCCTGTCCCTATAGTATAGTATTTATAATATGTTTATCTTCTATCATATATATATTTATCTTCTAGGAGACCAATGTGACATACTATTGAGATAAGTCTATGTCATACTTTCGCCCAGTAACAATGAAAGATGAAGGATTTATTGGAATTTCTGCTTTAAGGAAGGAAGCCAAATCAATAAACAAAGTTTTGTTTTAGAAATAAGTTTATATTAGTAAGTTTTTTTTTAATTTTTATAATTATTATTCTTATTAGCGGATAATTTAATACACTTGTTAGTACGTAAAAGTAAAATACAGATTCCTCTGAATAGCGCGCTTTCAACGAAAAGGTTAACCTACAAATATTTTAAATGCAATCTTCTTTCACGTCTTTACTTTTTATGTCTTGAGCTTTGCAATTTGCTACGGTCGAGCTTTAAAGGAAATTAGAATTAAATATGAATACATATTTAATTTGATATACCTTTTGATTTTTGAATATTTAAAACTCTTAATAGCTCCTGAAAATTATACAATTAATAATTATTAATTCAGTTCCATCCTAATTATTATAATGTTTTATTATGATTTCCTCTACTTTGAGATAAGCAAAAAAAAGTAGATTTAGTTAGATTATATCAAAAACGTAAAAAAAGTAAAACATATTATTTATGGATAGTCAAATGTTAAAAAACAATTTGAAAAAAAAATCAAAAACAAAGGAGGTGTTAATTGGAGTACGACTTTTTTAAGGGTGTTTAACAACCTGCCCGCAGCCTTCTTTAAATAGGCTCCTTGCTGCAGGTTTGTTTACGTTGGTTTGCAGTTTCCACTCTAGCACGTGTCGGTTCCATCAGCCATGAATGCATCTGGAGACCTATTTCCACGTCATCATGATAATTCGGCGCACGATGTCAGTTACAGTAGCTCTCTTGCGAGTGACAATCATCAACCACTAATTCTCCATGAATTTATGTAATGCTGAGGGGCTATTCAATAATCAATCTATACCTACTATAATATTATAAAGAGGTAAAGTTAGTGAGATTGTGAGTTTGTGGCGTTGTAGGGAGTAATCTCTGGATCTATTGAACCGATTTAGATGAAATTTGGTAAGAACATAGTTCGAGACCATGGGAAGGACATAGGATACTTTTTATCCCGGAAATCATCCCTTAAGGGGTGAAAACGGGGATGAAAGTTTGTACAGGGTAATCAATATATATTTATATTATAATATAATTTAAGCTAAAAGAACTTTGGCCTTGCGAATCGTAGTATCTATTACCGAATAAAAATTTCATAAAAAAACATAATATCTCTACGTGGTACGTTGGCTCATGTTTGGCCCAATATATCTGTATCGTGAAGGAATGCAACTAGCATTCTTCTTACTATTTCATACAGTAAATATTTAGTTATGGACTTAGTTTCATTGTTGTAAATATAATCTTATCGCATGTGTTACTTTATTGTTGACCCATACCAAGCGGTATTCAAAACATTTAAGGAAGGAGGTCGAAGCTTGAGTCCTACTTAATAACTGATTTAGTATTTTTATTTCCAGTACAATTTTGGCATTTTAGTGTATTATTATATGAGATGTTATAGAAAGATATGTGTGTCACGCCAATAACGCATAGCAGAGATATAAAGCAAAGTGGACCATAGCTTTCTCCCGCCTGCACTAACAAGATTCTTAATGCCATATACATATACAATTAATACCTTGCCCCCGGGCTCCACAGACAAGTTGATCAGACTATTTATTATGGTTTATATATACATGTATATATGTATGTTTGTTTCTCCTTCACATTGAAACGGCTGGACGAATTTGGATGATATTTAGTAGATTAGCATCCGGCAATCCCGCTGGGTGCGAAGCTAAGAGTCACACTGGAAGGTGGTCCACTTCGGTGGGTAATGTACCATTCGGGTTGCTCCTGGTACTTTTCTGACAGCAGAGTGGACCATGGAAGCAATCCCTTGGCTGTCTGCTTCGACAGATCTGCCATCGAAACGTCGTCTTTGAATGCGGAGACGATTCTGCGACGTACCAGTTTAAGACGGGCGAGGTTCTGATGGGTTTTAATGAGTAGTACTGGTTTTTTTAGCCGGTGAGTCCCACGTAAGCACTTGTATATATACAGGTGGTATGCATAAATGAATTTCCCAATATATAAAAAAAACTAGGGTCTAAAATGAGCGAAGCCATGTATTTTATATTTCCAGTAATATTACACAACATCCTTTTTTTTTAAATTAATGCAAAAAAGGACATAGCATTTGTTTTTATTACTAATTAAAGATTGACATAAGTGCGTCAGCATGCAAGTAGGCATGGCACAGGAAACCGCCAATTAAGCCAATAGCGGACAGCAGTCAATGACCACGTGCACGGAATTAAATAAATACTTAGTTATATGTAATTAAAATCTACATAATTATGTAATGCTGATTCAATAATATTATTTTCACAGATTCACTTACCTTTTTCAAATTATTAATAGTGTGAAGAATTCACAATAATTTAAATATTTTTATAATATTTAAAATTTAATAGAAACTTTTTAATGAAGGATTAATGAAAAGTGTATTTTTAATTTAAAAAAAAAACAGTAAACGAAAAATAACACTAAATATTTGGATTGTTTTTTTTGTTTTGTTTTTTTTGCTGCTCTTGCATATTTTTAATTACATATAACTAAGTAGTATAAATTTTATTAATACACAATCATAACTTAGTTATATCATATTATGTCTATTACACTAATTAATTTGTTTAACAAGTAAAAAATAAGCAAAATTTTAAGAAATAGAAATAAAAAAACTTTTAATCATTAGAATAAAATATTTATTAATTAAAAAAAAATTACCATTGGTTATTTCCATTTTATTTTTAATTAAGTTTAGAGTATATTCAGTTTCAATCGTATATCATCTTATCTGGCGTGTGGTAGCTGTGTCCTTTTGCCTAAAATTAATAACAAATATATTTGTGGTTATTTAAAAAAAACTGCAAACTTAGGTTCATGGGGCCCAGAAACCGAATGATTTCTAGCTTATCAGCTTCTATTTATCAGCCCTGAGACAAATGGCAACCCCAGGCCAGAGCACAAACAGAGAGCTTGATGGTATTTATTATTAGTAATAAGTTATTTTGATAAAAAAATATAAAAAAGGAATTTGTTTTATTGGTTTTGTGGGATTTGGTAGAGTGCAAATTATCTGAGCTCTATACAAAGTACTTGTTGCAACCACAAATACTACAATTTTATTTATAACTATAGAAATGTATAAACTTACCTGGCGAAACAAGTGTTACTAGTTAAATCATTCAAATCCTCCATAGTTTGAGGCATTCTTCGTCCCATAGTCTCTGGCAACACCAAAGCAATAAGAGATACAACGATACCTATCACTCCCACTATGATTAAAGATAGACCTTCCCATACTCGTTCCTGTGAGAGCAAATTATTTATTAGTTAAATTTATGACAATAATTATTTGAATTAGCCCACAAATCCATGCTCATGATGAGCAGGGTGGGGATAAAAGGTATTCTATGTGTATTGTGCGTGATATAGTGCGTGATCCCCCTATATGTCCTTTGCATTTTCAATGATATCTAAAAGATAACAAACAGACAGACTTTACTTTCAGATCACATATATAATACTAGCTACTCGCCCTCGTTTCGCTTCGGGTTCGTCCCTGGACAAAAACAAATCTATCTCACGGGAAAGGTACATTTTTCCGAATAAAAAGTAACCTATGTGCTATTCCATACTATAATCTATCTCTGTGCCAAATATCATATAAATACATTCAGCCGTTTCTGGAGTGACAGAGTAACATCCGTCTATCCATCCTCACAAACTTTCACATTTATAATATTAGTATAGATAACATTAATATAATCAGCCGTGAGACAAAATATAAGCAAGCAGAAAAAAGGTTCTTTCATATAACAGTTTCAATAAGTGCAGCTCACCCTCGCTTCGCGCTTTTTCCAGGATAAAAACTACCTATGCGTTATACCAGACTATAATCTATCTCTGTGCCAAATTTCATGCAGATCCGCTCAGCCGTTCTGGCGGGAAAGAGTAACAACATCCATACATCCATACTTACAAACTTTCACAACGATATGTATAATAAAATTCTAACTGAGTCGAATCTGTACAATATATATATTTTTTGAAAATCTTATTGAAATAGTCATTATTGTCGATACAGACCGAATTTATAGTTTTTAGAATTTTTGTCTGTCTGGGAACAAAGAGAAAGAACGAGAAAACCACTGGATGGATTTTAATGAAATTTGGTATTATGATAGGTGGTTATCCGGGTCAACATAGGATACTTTTTACTGCGGGAAAATATTTCATCTCTAAGAAATCTATACTGACCGTTAAAATGTACCTAGTGGCCCAAGTATTACATAAAGATGTTTTCAACGTTACTATTTCTAAAAGCTATAATGATAACAAAATCTTTAATCAAATGTGACTCACAGAGTAAATAATAAAGGGCGAGACAGTGATAGCAGCAAACGCGCTGATGTGGACGAAGGAGGCACCAAAGCCTCGTACAGGCGTCGGCATGAGCTCTGGTGTCCATTGTATGATCGTACCGTACGCCATGTTGATGAAGAATCGTACTATCACAGCTAATGTTACTGATGCTACACCTAATATATTTTACAATATTTTATATTAGGATAGCTTAGGTTTACCACAATCTTCTAATTTACACAGTCTAGACCAGCGGTTGCCAAAAATGAAGACATAAAGCCTGCCAGACATGAAGCGTAACTTTAGTACTATTATAAATAAATACATGAAAAAAAATCATTACATTAAATAGTTATATTTTTGGTAGGTACAATAAAAAATATTATAAGTTTTAATATTTTTCATTTATGATTTGTTCTTTCAAGTCAAACAAGATAGTATTCTACCTACAACGCTATCAGCATCGAAATGGGGCTCCATTAAAAAATTATGATCAATTACAGTTCCTTGGCCAAAAAAATTGGGAACTACTGATCTAGATAATTTAGAGTCTAGACACAAGACTACGGCATAGTACGGGGAGTCACCCCCGAGAGGCACCGGACTGTCATATTTACTTTTACAAGCCAATCGGGAAATGGCTTTAGGGTTGACGAGTATAACTATAACTTACCACGAGATGACACTAAATGCTTTAGCTTTGAAACCGTTCGCCATGATATTATTGGTAACCCTTGCATTTGACATCATTTAGGTTGAAATGAATGGATAATCGCCTACTGTATGCATTTCCATACTGTGGTTTTAATAAAATGCATTTGGTGACATCAGCACCACCACTTATATATATTGGCTGTTTGACAGGACGGTAAGCTTTCACGTGGTAAAACTCTCAGAGAGATAACTAAAATAGATGCCACTATATTTCAACTTAACAGTATTCAGTAGCTTTCTATCGGCAGATTACGAAAAAAGGTAATTTGAAAATAAATAACAATAAAATACCTCGTGGAATGAATGCAGTAACTAATGAAAGTATTCCAGAAATCATCATCGGACCCATCACCATCCATCTACGGCCAAATCTATAACATTCAGAAAATAATCATTTTTCAAAAAATGATATAAAAAATGAGAAATTTGACAAATCATTTACATTGTGATGCGTTCATGGGTTTTAAGTTTTAAGAATTGCAAAGTATTTAAAACAACCAAAAAAATACATTACCTGTCTAAAAGCAGTACCAAGATTATAATAGAAGGTATCTCTGTAGCCGAAGTTACAGTAAAAGTCAGGAAGAAGTCTAAGCCAAGATTCTCCGAGAGTCTGATGATGCCATCAAAAACTACTGCCACACCCATAAATGTGATGATCAGAAATATAATCATCACTCGTAATGAAGGTTCCCTAAAGAGAGCTAGCACACCTTGTTCTTTCTCTTTGGTGTTTGAAGCAACATCCTTGAAGAAATTGTTGAAATTAGACATCAAAAATAATTACTTATTTAGATAAAAACTTTCATAATCTTTGACAGTTTCTAAAATGTCGATGTTTTAAACGTACATATTATAAAATTATTAAAAATCTAAATGGCTTACAATAAATTCATCAAGTACATCTTTTGGTATTTTGGTTTTGTTTATTTTTTCAAATCTCTTTAGAACCCGCACTGCTTTGTCTACTTTTCCTTTACTTACTAACCACCTAAAAAGTGAAAAAATATGTCTATATTATACATACTATATGTAATTACTACATTAAATTTTTAACAAAACCACAATTCTAAAACGACATTCATTGTAATGCACGTTTATGTATATTTATTTAAAATACGAGTATGTATTGCATATTTTAAATTTTGCCTAATAAGACTGACTGAAATTCTCGGGTTCAATTCTCTATCTGAGTATATCATTTTAAATTGACTATAAGTATCTCTTAGTTTTTATTGGGTTTTTTACTTTTACTTTTAGTCTGATTTGGTTTTAACAAAAAAACCCACTAAATACAAGAAGAGTAAGTATTATCTTGATTATGTAAGTATAATCTTACATTCGACGGGTAATGGAGAGCTGAGTTTGTAACAAATTAACTCAAAAACTACCGGACCGATTTTGATAAATTTTTATAAGAAGATAGTTTGAGACCCTGGAAAGAACATAGAATATTTTTTTTCCAGAAATCACCCCTTAAAGGGGTGAAAATGGGGGTGAAAATTTGTATAGGGAATCAACCAAATCGCAAACCCGAGCGAAGCGATATTGAGTCGCTAGTCTCTAGTATAGAAAATCTTCAAATAGGTAAATGGGAACCACTAATAAAGAAACATTAGACATTACAAAACATAACCTACCTGGCACTCTCCGGGACGATCAAAGGAGCAACAAGTACCAGAAGCATGGGTAAAGACATGGCAAGTGATAATTTCTTCCAATCAGATATCCACAGTGCGATCCATGGTAGTACTAAGCAACCTCCGCCAAAATACGTTGCTATTGACATATTCGCCACAAACGAACGATATTTTAGACCCACATACTCTAAAACTGATAATCATTAGTTAATAATAAATTATCATAATTTATTATGGGTTTTGGAATAACATATGGGTTTTAGAATAACATTAGACGACACGTTAAGCTCAGTTTGTAGTGACCCTACTTGCTGTGCCAGCGGTCGCGGGTTCGAATCCCGCTGGAGACATTCATTTGTGTGATGAGCACGAATGTTTGTACTCCAGTCATGGGTGTTTATATTTATTATATGTATGTATTTAAAGTTATATATGTGTAGTGTATCAACGGTATCCATAACACAAACCTCGTAGCTTACCATGGAACTAGATGGTGCTGTTTAGTAACGTCCCAACATATTTATTTATTTATATGGGTTGCCTAAGGAATCACCCGAGACTGCAGTCATAATAAAGAAGGCCCTAACCAACAATTTGGTCAACACTGACTTAAATGCAGATTCGGAATCAGCAATCAGCTCTAAGTCTTAAGGATCCGGAGATATCATATCCATTTTCATCGTAACTACATCAAAACTATTACTAAGTACTAAGACAAAACTTCAAATATATCGTAACTAACTTTAACGAAGTTGCGGCCTTCTTTTTTATGACGGCAGAATGTGAGTCGCTAGGTATCGTAATATTTCTACAATACTGATTTTTTTGAGAAATTAGAGGCACTTACTAATTATGTAAATCATCAAGAAGCAGCTGTCACAAGACATGCCGACGAGGAATCTGCACATTGCGAAGTCCCAGAAACCGTTGGTGAATATTGTGCAAACTCCACCAACACAGCCCACAACATTAGCCACTGTATAATAGAAATTCATTTTAAAATTATAAGAATACTAATGTGTATAAACAAAATAGTTTAAAATAAGGAAGCTACGAGTACATGCAATAACTAAATTATATACATAATATATATACTTTATGTATGTTCAAACGGCCTCGGTGGTGTAGTGGCTAGCATGTACGGCTGCACACCCGGAGGTCCTGGGTTCGAGTCCCTGGTCGGGCCAAGTTTAGTTATTGAGTCTTTCTGTATAGTAAGTCTCAGTAACAGCCCGGAGTTGGGAAGTTGGCGGTGTTTCACCCCCGTGCCTCGGAGAGCACGTAAAGCGGTCGGTCCTGCGCCTTAACTCTCTCCGGTCGTGTCGAGTGGTCGTCCCGCCGGAGTATGGGAGTGATAGGAATAGAGAGTGCACTTGTGTCTGCGCGTACACTTGAGCACTATAATAAGTCCTGCGCAGTTGGCTAATCTCATTGAGATTGGCCGCCGTGGCCGGAATCGGCTAGGAGAACATCATCATTATCATCATCATGTATGTACATGATTAAGTAATGAGTCAGTCATTTTAGTAAGCTGATAAGTCATATGTTACTGAGATGATCTCCCGAGTAAAAAAAGTATTCTGTGGAGATGACCAACAAGATTTACTTGTACACCGAAATTCGTTAGGAACTAACAATAGCACTCTATAGTCAGTTATTAGATAAACAAGCAAATAATCTTTAAAATAGGTAAATCTCGCGATAAGCTTTTATATCATATAAATTGTGTAATGTAATAAATTGTTGGGTTTGATTTCACTTATAGTTTATTTTATTCCTTTTAGAGCATTTAAATAAAGGTTTGTTATCAAAAATGTTTTTTTAATATTAATTATAAAGAAGCTGGTTACTGCTTACTAAGCTAACTACTAACATACGAGTAGATGACACAGTGCTCATTTTCCAGGCCATGCATTGAGTTCAAAGTCAACGTGATACCGAAACATACTCATATCCTATTTAAATATATGTAGAATATGCTATATCTATGTAATACTAATACTAATGTGTAAAAGCAGCAAGTTGTAACTACCTATAATTAAAACTGCAATTATCATGATAAATCATATGTAACCTAGGTTTAAGTATTATAATATTGTAACTTTTGTTGGTAGTTCAAGAAATAAATAAATAGAAATAAATAAATAAATAAATAAAGTAAATACACTTACGAATGAGAACAGGTAGTCTTCCATACTTGTCAGCTAATATACCGTACACAATACCTCCAGCGATCGCACCGAAGAATGCAATTGTTTGAGCCCAAGGAACTAGACTTGCTCTATCACAAACCCATTCTCGCTTTAAAATAATAATAAAAATCATTATGAAAATATTAAGACATACTTATCTAAGTTAATCAATAATTAATTATCTTATAATTTCGTGTATCTCGGAAACGGCTTTAACGATTTGGATGAATTTTTGTATTTAGATAAGGTTTTGCTTTCATCTATACATATAATAAAATTGTAACTAAGTCGTTTAATATTTTTTGGAAAATCTTATTGAAATAGACATTAGTATCGATACAGAGTCCGAATCTATAGTTTTTAGAATTTTTGTCTGTTACCGCATCACAGAAGAACCACTGGAGGGATTTTGATGAAATTTGGTATGGCGGTAGCTGGTTATCCGGGTCAACATATAGGATACTTTTTACCGCGGAAAAATATCTCATTTTTGAGAAAAAATACAAAAACTGCATTGTAAGAGTATACTAATGTGTAAAACCTAAGAAGTTGGTTTTTGGTCATCTGAACGCGGGCGGAGCCGCGGGCAATGCTAGTCTATCTATATAGGTGCCTTTTCTGGGGAAAAACCGCAATTTTTATATACTATCCGAAAAACACCGAGCGAGGCTCGGTCGTCCAGAATCCAAGGAGGGTACCTATATATATATATACTAGCGACTTACCCTCGCTCCGCTCGGATTCGTGTTTAGCTTAGACCACCCTTATCACTTAGGGGTATAAAAATAGTTTAAGTCCTATTCTCAAACTTACTAAATATACAAACAAAATTTCATAAGAATCGGTCAAGCCGTTTCGGAAGAGTTTTGTTACAAACACTGTGACACGAGAATTTTATATATTAGATATAACAGGACAACAGGCTCAATTGTTTTGTTTACAAAGTAGTGAGTAGTGAATACCTATCACTACCATGATACATATTAATCGATGTTACATAATTGTAAATAAAATATTTAAGCATTTCCCGATCGTAATGAAAGAGATCTCTCGCTTATAAAAAATCGCGGTAAAATATATGTATTATACGTACAAGCTAAATAAGCAAAATCAACTTAGCAAGACGAGAATCAACTTAGAATACGAGTATGTCTCCGACTGCATAAGACCTTCCATAAACGTCAACTTGTTCCTATCTTTTTAGTTCGCTTTTTACGCAGGTCGTTTTTTTTATTATTTAATCTTTTATTACCAGTTTTTTATTCATACAGTATAGTATTATTATGTTTCCAGTAATTAAAAAGTCAGTCCTATTTTTACCTAACTGCGACGAAGTACAAAGAATTGATTTGTATATGTGAATGTATGTCCTATCCAATATTCCCTTATAATTAATTGTTAAGTAGCTGAACAGATTTCGATGAATTACAATTCGATAGAATCGTTTGAGCGATATATTAAAATCATAAAAAAAACAAAATGGCGCATTTCAGCCTCAAAGGGCGTTTTAAATTTTGCTTTATTCCAGACCTATTGAGTATTAATGTCTTGACAGCTATTTTGGCTTACCTCATTAACAATCGTCGAATACGGTATATCCTCAAAGAGAAAGTCCCAACCATTCTGGCAGGGAATGATTGGTGTGCCTATATCAGGAGGTTCCAGCGTTTCAAAACTTGAGTCCAGTTTGCGTCAAACATGTTACAGTGATCATATTCGGCGTCCGATGTATTTGGAATGGATAGAGACCGTCTGGAGTATTAAAAATATATTCAAAATTAATTTTATCTAATTAGAGTATTTACACGTTTTAGGCGACCTAAAAGCTAGTTTGTTCGTAAAGGAAACATGAAAATGAAATAAACATTACACTAATAAACGAGGCTTTATTTGAGGAGAAATTAATCACTTGTTTTTACTGATAAAACTAGCAAGTAACTTAATAAATTTAATTTGTTTATAATCTTTTGCTTAAGACGGTAAAGTTTGCTGGAATAAAAAAAATGCCTCACCGTTCTGAATTTACTTACAACTAAAAAAATATAGGAGAAATTACGTCCAATACCTTAAATCTAAGCTAAGTCCTTCTAACTCAGGCACTCGACACCAATGTTCCTGAGGGGTGGCTGTTAAGAACATTTGTCCGAAATATACAAATGCCCACACAAAACCGAACGGCATCATTGTGAAAAACAGAAGCCATTGATAGAGACTGAACTCGCCGACGTGTTTTATAATATTTTCCAATTTCATCCCAATATCGTCATCATCGTCAATTTTATTTTTCTAAAAAAACACTTTTTTTAAGTTTAGAATTTTTAAGCATGTTACTTGAAATATGTATTTTACCATTGATTCATAATAGAAATTAAAGATGATCGATGAAAGGTGACTTAAATTTGTTGATTTAACAAGTTAATTGTTCTAGCGCAGTCTTGCACGTGATTTTTAATGAGACTGCTGTACTCACAAGTCACAGAACTAGGTAAAATTCTGATATATTAGTTACATTTAACATGACTGCACCGGGTAATTACATGGATGGTAGAATGTTTTTTGGAATAAACATATATACATATTTTTAGTCTAAACATGCCATTAGACAAAAGTCATAATCAATACGTTGAACAGATTATTGAGATGAATGGGTCTACTCGATTAAAACTATAATCTTACTAATATCGATGTAATTAGGCATGATGAATTAGAGCACCTAAACCCCAACTACGACCTTTCTATCCCCTTCCCTTTGTCTTCATCCCCTTCGATGGCGAAGAAATGTCTTTGTTTTTACGTGACTAAACTACACCAGCCTTATTTACTACGTTACTAGTAGAAAAAATTCAAGACGATGTACATATTATATCAAAAGCTCTTTTAGAAAAAATAATTCCCAAAAATTACGATATTTTCTAAACACGATATAACATCAAATAATATAGGTAATTCAGACTCAGCTCACGTGACTGACTTTTATCTTGTAATTTATTAGCGCAGTTAGATAATCTAAGTATATAATGGAATGAAAATGAATTTTCCAACCTTTATTAAAAAAAAAATCAAAATATCGATTATAAGCTTCATTACATTTATTGTGATGTGATACCGATGTAATCATACACATATTTTATAACTCATGCAAAAATTAAATAATTTACATCAAATTCCGCGAATCGCAATAAATTATTTAAGTTTTCAATTCGATTGTTAATTTTACATTTTATCTGAGTTCTGACACTAAATGCTTGTTTTAAAGTATGTTGGTCAAATATTAAAAAAATCTTTGCGTATACAAAAACTTTTGAACCTTTCAATTCATTTTAATCTAGCTCTGCACTCATGGACAAATTATAGTAGAAGTAAAAATAAAAATAGATTTAAAAAAACTGTGGGTAGTATACATATATATGTACGGATCAAATGGGATTAGGCAAATTCCTACTAAGAAAGCCATCCCCAATTAATTTTGGGATTACAATCCCTAATTAATTATACTACGTATTACTTCTCATAATTATAAATCAGCATACATACTGACCTCTTGATTTTCCGTTTTCACATTTACATTATCCACGTCCATTCTAAAATCTTTATTATATAAACACGTGTCACTACTACTACAAGTACTACAATAACGTGACTAGTAAACTGCTAACAATTAAATAATGATTAATTATTATCGTATCTTTAGAAGATCATTTTTTTCATTTTGATAATGTTATCTAATAATTAATTTTAGTATGCTATCTACATATATATAAAAATGAATTTTTCGTTAGTCTCTCTAAAACTCAAAAAGTGCTGGTCCGATTTAAATAATTCTTTTTTTGTTTTGTTAGGAGTGTGTCCAGGGTGGTTTAAGTATAAAAAATATATAGGAAAAACCCAAAAAAAAGAGCTGGAAAATCGAAAAATACAGAGTTTATCTATTATTCACTAACTGTTAAAACGTACCTAGGGATGAACCCGAGCGTCATAGTACCTATCACCTAATAAAAAAATAATTAAAAACATAATATCTTTACGTGGCAAGTGTTGGCTCATGTTTGGCCCAATATATCAGTATTGCAATTGCAATATTTACAATTGCAATATACCAATATTCAGTGAAGGAATGCAGCTAGCGTTCTTCTAATTATTCCATACAGATGATGATGATGATGATGATGATGACCGTTATAAATATTTAAGTATGGACTGACTTGAACACACTTGGTCCTGCGTTTCTCCAGCATAAATATTTCTTCCCGGAAGTGAGAGTCTGGAAGGCTGTGAAAATACTCTATCAACTTTTTAAATGAATGCGAAGCCCTTCCCAAAAACAAATATCTATAAGTTCGGGAACAGATTGGAAGTCTGAGAATACCAAATCAGGAGAATAGGGGGGACGGCCGAGTAAATCGCGCCCCAAATCTAGCAGTTTTCCCATCGCCAATGCACCTTTGTGAGCCGGTGCGATGTCCTGGTGAAACGTTATTTTTTCTTCATCAAACCAGGCCTCCTCTCACGAATTTAGGCATCCAGCTGGTCAAAAAGCTTGGGAGTAATATTTGCCTGTAATTGTTGTGCTTTTTTCAAGACAATCAACAGGATCCCTTTTGCATCCCAAAACACACTGGCAATGACCTTTCCGGCAGATGAGATGGACTTCGCTGTATTTGATGATGAACTCTCGGATTACACCCACTGCTTTGACTGCTCTTTCGTTTCTGGCGTATAGTGGTAGAACCATGTCTTATCCATAGTGATTAATCGCCGCACAAAATTGATTGAATCGGTCCAAACATGGCCGCTTATGTTTTTTGCGCGACTGCTTTTGATCGGCATTTAGCAAATGCAGCACCCATATTGCGCAGAGCTTTCGCATCCCTAATTCTTTGTGCAAGATGTTTCACACTCTTTCTTACGAAATATCCATGGCCTAAGCTATCTCTCTCATCTTCACTCGCCTATCGTCCAATACGATATCGTCCACTTTTTCGATAGGTTCAGGTGTAGTAGCGGTTTTTGGCCGTCCTTGACGTGAGTCATCTTCGAAGGATGTGCCACCACGCTGACATTTACTGACTGCTCACTTTTTAACGGTTGACATTGAAGGAGTCCCCGTAAGCTTTTATCAACTTCGAATTATTTTCCTTAGGGCTTAACGCATCCAAAACAAAGAATTTCATGACTCTACTTGTCTACTGCAAATGTTCATGTAAACAAACTACTTGAGAGAACAAGTTGAAACTTACCATACGAACTAATAATATAATACATAGGTGGGAAACACTTTTTAATGATTAGAACGACATCATCTGACATCTGTGTCAGGCCGAGAACTTTTCACCTTACCCTAGTAAATTGATCTGTCTGTTGACCCATACCAAGCGGTATTCAAAACATTTAAAGAAGGAGATCGAGGCTCGAGACCTACATATAATAAATAACTGATTTATTATTTTTACTTCCAGTCCAATTTCGGCATTTTAGTATATCAAGGTATGACACTTTATGCATAGATGTGTGTGCCACGCCAATAACGCCTAGCAGAGAAATAAAGCAAAGTGGACCATAGCTTTCTCCCGTTTGCACTAACAAAATTCTTAATTCCATATACATATTTTTTAATAACTTACCACGTTGATCAAACTATTATATGTTTTATATATACATGTGTCTGTGAGTATGTATGTTTGTTTCTTTCGTTCCCATTTTCACCCCCTTAAGAGATGCTTTCCGGGATAAAAGTATCCTATGTCCTCTCCAGGCTCTCAAACTATCTTATTACCAAATTTCATCTAAATCGGTTCAGTAGATCCAGAGCTTACATCCTACAATGTCACAAACTTACAAACTTTACCTATTTATAATATTAGTATAGATTAAATATTGACATAAGTGCGTCAGCATGCAAGTAGGCATGGCACAGGAAACCGCCAATTATGCCAATAGCGGACAGCAGGCAATGACCACGTGCACGGAATGAAATAAAAACTAAGGGAGCATCCATGAATTACGTGAGACAATTTTGGCGATTTTTCGACCACCAACCACCACCTTATCCCCCACGCGAGATTGAAGAAGGTTTTGCTCGACCCCCTCCCTCCTTAAACGCCTCACGTAATTAATAGATGCTCCCTTAGATATATGTAATTAAAACGAACATAATTATATAATGCTGATTCAATAATATTATTTTCACCTTTTTAAATTAATTACATAATATAAGTAGTGTAAATTATATTAATACACAATCATAACTTACATATGCCATATTATGTTTATTACGCTCATTAATGTGTGTAACACGTAAAAAATAAGTAAAATTAAAAAAAATTGAAATAAAAGAACTTATAATCATTAGAATAAAATATTTATTAATAAGAAATAAATTAACATTAATTGTTATTTCCATTTTATTTTTAATTAAGTTTAGAGTATATTCAGTTTTAATCGTATATCATCTGATCCGGTGTGTGGTAGCTGTGTCCTTTTGTCTAAAATTAATAACAAATATACTTATTTGTGGTTAATTTAAAAAAACTGCAAACTTAGCTTCATGGGGCCCAGAAACCGAATGTTTTCTAACTTATCAGTTTCTATTTATCAGCCCTGAGACAAATGGTAACCCCAAGCCAGAGCACACATAGAGAGCTTGATGCTATTTATTATTAATAATTTTGTTTTTGCTGCTATGTTATTATAATATTATTCCATGTAAAACATAACATGTAAAAAATACAAGTCTCGCAACGCAATTGTTCTACCGAAAAAAGTTTTAAGATCTAATTTAATAAAAATAAAAATAGAATGACTTGACTATCGCACACGACAAATAACAAAATTTCCCTAATATTAACGTTCTGAGCGCATTATTTATATTTGTGTATGCATAAAAGTTAATCTTTTCTTTGATCATGCATAATTTCGCTAATTGTAAACTATCCAAGTAATCCCACATTATTTGAGAACATCCCAATCCACACCTTAAGGTGGTATAATAATTTTCAAAGTTATTTTGGTAAAAATAAAATAAAACAGGAATTTAATTTATTGGTTATCTGGGCTTTGGTACATTGCAAATTATCTGAGCCATATACAAAGTAGTTGTTGCAACCACAAATACAATAATTTTATTTATATCTATAGAAATGTATAAACTTACCTGGCGAAACAAGTGTTACTAGTTAAATCATTCAAATCCTCCATAGTCTGAGGCATTCTTTGTCCCTTAGTCTCTGGCAACACCAAAGCAATAAGAGATACCACGACACCTATCACTCCCACTATGATTAAAGATAGACCTTCCCATACTCGATCCTGTAAGAGCAAATTATTTATTGGTTAAATTTATGACACTAATAAAATACGTCTTCTTACTACATATACTAATATTCCGTATTATTATCTAATATTTATAAATGTGAAAGTTTGTGAGTATGTATGGATGTTTGTTACTCTTTCAAGCCAGAACGGCTTAACGGATCTGGATGAAGTTTGGCACAGAGATAGATTATAGTCTAAAATAACACATAGGCTACTTTTTATCCCCGAAAAATGTACGGTTTCCGTAGGATTGGTTTGTTTTTGCTTTCTAAGAAGCGAGGGTAAGCCAGTAGTGGTAAAATAAAATAATAATGTTTGAATTAGCCCGCGACTCCACGCTCATGATAAACAAAGTGGAGGTAAAAGGTAGTCTATAATATCCCACTCTCTGTCCTCTCCAATATTCAATGCTATCTAAAAGGTGACAAATAGACAGAGTTTACTTTCACATATTATATAATATTAGCCACTCCATCTCGCTTTGCTTCGGGTTCATCCCTAGACAGTATCAAATCTATCCCACGGGAACTGTACACTTTTCCGGATAAAAAGTAACCTATGTGCTATTCCAGACTATAATATGTCTCTGTGCTAAATTTCATCCAGACCAGCCATTTCTGGCATGACAGAATAACATTCACCCTCACAAACTTTTACATCTATAAAATATTATAATGAGGTAAAGTTAGTGAGTTTGTGATGCTGTAAGGGGTAATCTCTGGATCTACTGAACCGATTAAGATGAAATTTGGTAAGAAAATAGTTTGAGACCCTGGAAAGGATTTAGGATACTTTTTATCCCAGAAATCATCCCTTAAGGGGTTGAAAATGGGGATGATAGTTTGTATTTGGAAACAAGCCAGGGACGAACCGGAGCGAAGCGAGGATGAATCGGTAGTTTATTACTAAATAGATCAATACATTAATAAAATTCTAACTGAATCGAATGTGCACATTAAATATTTTTTGGAAAATCTTATTATTATCGATACAGAGACTGAATCTATAGTTTTTCGAATTTTGTCTGTCTGTATGTTTGGGAACGCATCACGACATAACCACTGGACGGATTTTGATGAAATTTGGTACGATGATAGCTGGTTATCCGGGTCAACACATAGTATACTTTTGATTGCTGGAAAATATATCACCTCTGAGAAATCTATGCTGATCGTTAAAACGTACCTTTTTTTTTTTTTTTTTTAACGTTGGGAAATGCATTTACGCACGAGGTGTGGGACTCACCGGCAAAGCCAGTACTTCCCACTAAAACCCAACAAAGCCTTCCACCGTCGTAATGGGGCGTCGCAGGATCGCTTACGCATTCAACTACGACGCCCCGACGGCAGGTCTGCCAAAGCAGACCACAACAACCACGGGGTTGCTCCAAGGTCCACTCTGCTATCAGAGAAGTACCAGGAGCAACCCGCATGGTACACCGCCCTCCGAAGAGGGCCACCTCCCACCGCCCACCGAAGTGGGCCACCTCCCTGTGCGTTTCTTGGCTTCGCGCCCGGTTGGGTTGCCGGGCACTACTGAGCCCCCCCACCACGACAAGGTGAACGCACGTTGGGGGGGACCCGTTAAAACGTACCTGACCCAAGTATAACATAAAGACGTTTCCACCATTTCTGTTTTAAAATGTTATTATGATAACCAAAATCTTAAATCAAAAGTGACTTACAGAGTAAATAATAAACGGCGAGAAAGTGATAGCAATAAATGCACTGGTGTGGACGAAGGAGGCGCCAAAGCCTCGTACAGGCGTCGGAATGAGCTCTGGTGTCCATTGTATGATCGTACCGAACGCCATGTTGTTGAAGAATCGTACTATCACAGCTAATGTTACTGATGCTACACCTAATATATTAAACAGTATGTTTTATTTTATATATTATATTTTTTTATTTTAATCAGTATTTTTTATTTTTAAGCATTAGGATATTTAGATTTACCACAGTCTACTAATACATACAGTCGTCTAACGAAAGCGTCTAGAGTGTAGACCAGCGGTTCCCAAAAGTGTAAACATGAAGCCTGTCAGACATGAAGCCTAATTTTAGTGCTATTATAAATATGACAAAAAATTTCATTCATCATATTAAATAGTTATATTTTTGACACATTAAATATTATTATAAGTATTAATATTTTTGATTTATGATTTGTTTTTTCAAGTCAAAGAAGAAAATATTCTAACTACAATACAATCAGTATTAAAATAGAGATCCGGTAAACAATATGGACAAGTAGGATTCCGTGGCCAAAAAAAATTGGAAACCACTGATCTAGACAGTCTAAAGTCTAGACACTAGACTACGCAATCGTGCAAGGGAGTCACGAGTGAGGGCACCCGACTGTCATATTTACATTTATTTGTCAGTCGAGAAATGGCTTTAGGGTTGACGGGTATAACTATAACTTGCCACGAGATGACACTAAATACTTTAGCTTTGAAACCGTTCGCCATGATATTATTGGTGACCCTTGCATTTGACATCATTTAGGTTGAAATGAATGGATAATCGCCTACTGTATGGATTTTCATACTGTGGTTTTAATAAAATGCATTTGGCGACATCAGCACCACCACTTATATATAATGGCTGTCTGACAGGACGGTAAGCTTTCACGTGATAAAGCTCTCAGAGAGATAACTAAAATAGATGCAACTAAATTTCAATTGTACAGTATTCAGTAGCTTTCTATTAGCAAATTATTGGTTCTTTTATTGTTAACACTAAAACTCGTCAATTGCTACTAAATGAAAAAAAACTATTAACAGAGAAGAAAAAGGTGCTGAACTGTTTTGTCTTTGCCTATTTATATATAGATCAATTAGTACGAAAAAGGTATTTTGAGTATAATTAACAACAAAATACCTCGTGGAATGAATGCAGTGACAAATGATAGTATTGCAGAAATCATCATCGGACCCATCACCATCCATCTACGGCCAAATCTATAACATTAAAAAAAAATTACTTAACAGATATAATTAAAGACTTAAGACCAAATTACAGTTTTGTTTTTAATATAATCTTCGAAATATTTGTTTTTGAGTTAAAAATAAATAAATAAATGTGATGGGACATTTACAGTTATAAGATTTTGTTACAACAAAGTCAAGGAATATCATAGGATTTTCAGAAAACACATTGTTAGTTGACGTCCAAAAAATTTTGCCTGTAAAGTAATATTATATTTAATGTGAGATTTAATAAATGACTTAGATTGTGATGCTTTCATGGGCTTAAAGTTTTAAAAATTGCAAGATGTTTAAAACAACCAAAATACTTACCTTTAAAACAAATATTACCTGTCTAAAAGCAGCACCAAGATTATAATAGAAGGTATCTCTGTAGCCGAAGTTACAGTAAAAGTCAGGAAGAAGTCTAAGCCAAGGTTCTCCGAGAGTCTGATGATGCCATCAAAAACTACTGCCACACCCATAAATGTGATGATCAGAAATATAATCATCACTCGTAATGATGGTTCTCTGAAGAGAGCTAGCACACCTTGTTCTTTCTCTTTGGTGTTTGAAGCCACATCCTAAATTTGGCGAAATTGGGCATGAAAAATAATTACTTATTTAAATAAAAACTAAAGTTTTTGTTTAAATAAGTAATTTTTTTTCTTGGATGGTTTCTAGAATGTACATATGATAAAATTATTAAAAATCTAAAAAGCTTACAATAAATTCGTCAAGTACATCTTTTGGTATTTTGGTTTTGTTTATTTTTTCAAATTTCTTGAGAACTCGCACTGCTTTGTCTACTTTTCCTCTACTTACTAACCACCTAAAAAGTGAAAAATTCTGTATAAATATTATAGTTTGTGAGTTTGTATGGATGTTTGTTACTTTTTCACGGCAGAACGGCTGAACGGATCTAGATGAATTTGGCGCAGAGATAGATTATAGTCTGGAATAACACATAGGCTACTTTTTATCCCGGAAAAATACGCGGTTCCCGAGGGATAGATTTGTTTTTGTTCTTCTAGAGGTGAACCCGAGCGAAGCGAGGGTGAGACGCTAGTATATCTATATTAAGCATAATATATGTAATTACTACATTAGATTTTTAACATAACCACAATTCTAAAACGACATTCATTTTAATGCACATTTATGTATATTTATTTAAAATATGTATTGCATATTTTAAATTTAGCCTAATAAGACTGACTGACACTCTTGGGTTCAATTCTCTTATAAGTATATCATTTTAAATTGACTATATCTTTCATTTCTAATTCGGTTATAACAAAAGAAACACTATGTTATGTTCTATGTATTTATAATTTTACTATTTAATATTTATTGGGACTCGGGTGTAAATGAAACAAGCGTTCACGTTGAAGCCATTGACCCGACGGAAGTGTCTATTTTATATTTCTTAATACTAATTAACCATAGACAATAATGAGGTTTACACACTATCCAACACACTAAAGACAAGAAGTGTAAGTATTATCTTACATTCGACGGGTTATGGAAAATTGATTAAATTACGGTATATACTTATGTACATGTACCTGTACCATAAAGTCCTACTTATATTATATTTTTAGTATCGTAAATCTCAATTCATCCCTTTTAGCTGTTTCCTCAATGCGAGGAAGAATCGGGCCATATTGATATTTTTAGTAAAATCGACTAATGTCCAACACCCTACTTTTTAGCAATAAGAATTTGCCATTTGTATGGGACGTTAAAAATTCCTCTCTCTGATAAAGACTCTTGGAAATAACAACACTGTAATAAAGAAACATTAGACATTACAAACATAACTTACTTGGCACTCTCCGGGACGATAAAAGGAGTAACAAGTACCAGAAGCATGGGCAAAGCCATGGCAAGTGATAATTTCTTCCAATCAGATATCCACAGTGCGATCCATGGTAGTACTAAACAACCTCCGCCAAAATACGTTGCTATTGACATATTCGCCACAAACGAACGATATTTTAGACCCACATACTCTAAAACTGATAATCATTCGTTAATAATAATATTTTATCATAATTTACGACGGGTTTTGGAATAACATAATATGGATTGCTTAGGGAGGCACTAGAGTAATGTGAGGCGCTAGTATCGTAATATTTCTACAGTAATAAATACTCTCTAAGATTTCATTCAATTCAATCAAAACTTCAGGAACCAAAAATTAAAATAAAACCGCGAAATAATCCGTAAAGATAGTTTTATTTAAAATTTCTAGAGTAGTTATTTTTTTGAGAAATTAGAGGTACTTACCAATTATGTAAATCATCAAGAAGCAGCTGTCACAAGACATGCCAACGAGGAATCTGCACATTGCGAAGTCCCAGAAACCATTGGTGAATATTGTGCAAACTCCACCAACACAGCCCACAACATTAGCCACTGTATAGTAGAAAATTTAAAATAAAAAGAATTACTTTGTATAAATAAAATATTTTATAAAAACTTTTAAAAAACCGACTTCCTGGCACTAAAATATAAAAAAATAACTAAACGGGGGTTTTCATTTAGAAAATATCTGATTGGGTAGATACCCATTTTCTAAGTTGGTGCCAGCCGATGCAAAGCCATAATATATTTCGATACGTAAAATACATCATATTTACCTATTAGATATATTCATATCTTAAAATATTGTCGGCTGGCACCGACTTCGAAAATATCTGATTAGGTAGGTAGTTGGTATCTATTCTAAATGAAAACCCCCGTTTAATTATTTTTTACATTTTAGTGCCTGGAAGTCGGTTTTTTTTTAAGTTTTTATTTTTCCATGCTTGTAGCATTAATAATTAAATAAGTACTAAAATTGTAACATAGAACCTAGTAAAAGTGAGCCAACGAATTATGTTACTGAGATGACAAACAAGACTTACCTACTTGTACACCGAAATCAGTAGGAACTAACAATAACACTCTATAGTCAGTTATTAAATAAACAAGCAAATAATATTTAAAATAGGTAAATCTCACAACAACTATGGGTTTGATTTAATTTAAAGTTTATTTTATTCTTTTTAGAGCATTTTAATAAAAGCTTGTTTTCAAAAATGTGTTTTACTATTAATCTATACCTACTAATATTATAAAGAGGTAATGTTTGTGATTTGTGAGTTTGTGACGTTGTAAGGAGTAATCTCTGGATCTACTAAACCGATTTAGATGAAATTTGGTAAGAAGATAGTTTGAGACCCTGGGAAAGACATAGGATACTTTTTATGACGGAAATCATCTCTAAAGAACCCTCTTTCTTTTGAAAATGGGGTCTGTATGGGGAAGCCACTAGGGACGAACCTTTTTTTTTTTTAACGTTGGGAAATGCATTTACGCACGAGGTGTGGGACTCACCGGCGTAATACAGCCAGTACTACCCACTAAAACCCAACAAAACCTTCCCCCGTCTTAATGGGGCGTCGCAGGATCGCTTACGCATTCAACTACGACGCCCCGACGGCAGGTCTGCCGAAGCAGACCACCACAACCATGGAGTTGCTCCAAGGTCTACTCTGCTATCAGAGAAGTACCAGGAGCAACCCACATGGTACACCGCCCACCGAAGAGGGCCACCTCCCACCGCCCACCGAAGTGGGCTACCTCCCTGTGCGTTTCTTGGCTTCGCGCCCGGTTGGGTTGCCGGGCACTACTGAGCCCCCACACCACGACAAGGTGAACGCACGTTGGGGGGGACTAGGGACGAACCTGACCGAAGCGAGGATGAGTCGCTAGTTTATTATAAAGAAGGTGGTTTAACGTTTCAGAAAGTTGTTAATACTATTAATTTCAGCATTCCATTATCTAACTACTAACATATGAGTAGATGACACAGTGCTCATTTTCCAGGCCATGCATTGAGTTCAAAGACAATGTGATACCAAAACATACTCATACCCTATTTACATATATGTAGAATGTTATATCTATGTAAAGTAAATACACTTACGAATCAGAACAGGTAGTCTTCCATACTTGTCAGCTAATATACCGTACACAATACCTCCAGCGATCGCACCGAAGAATGCAATTGTTTGAGCCCAAGGAACTAGATTTGCTCTATCACAAATCCATTCTCGCTTTAAAATAATAACAAAAATATTAAGAAATTGTTATCTAAGTTAATAAATAATTAATCTATACTTAATTATATATATGCGAAAGTAACTCTGTCTGTCTGTCTATTACCTTTTCACGCTTAATCCGCTGAACCGATTTAGACGACATTTAGTTTGGTGATAGTTTGAGACCCTGGGAAGGACATAGGATAGTTTTTACCCAGGAAATCATCCCTTAAGGGGGTAAAAAGGGGGATGGAACTTTGTATGGGGAATCTATCATTTCTCTGAGAGTAAGGGATGTAAAACTCATCAATCATATAATATATACACACACATAGATAGACTATATAGTCTATGTATTCCATACTAACCATAATAAGGTATCTAGGGAAGAACCCGAGCGAAGGTGAGTCATTAGTTATCTTATTGTGTATCTCGGAAACGGCTTTAACGATTTGGATGAATTTTTGTATTTAGATAAGGTTTTGCTTTTTAAGTTTTTATTGATCTATAAAGATTAGATTAGCCTTTTCTGGGTAAGAACCGCAATTTTTGTACACTTTCCGAAAAACGTCGAGCGAGGCTCGATTGTCCAGGATCCAAGGACTGTACCTATAAATACATACCTATATGTAATAGGACAACACGCTCAAGTGTTTTGTTTACAAATAGGTATTCACTACTCGTATGATACATATTAATCGATGTTACATAATTGTAAATAAAATATTGAATGTATGTCCGATCCAACATTTCCTTATAATTGTTAAGCGGCTGAACAGATTTCGATGAATTATAATTCATTAAATTCCTTTAAGTTTTGATTAAAATCATTAAAAAAAAATTAAAATGGCGAATTTCATATTTAAAGGGCGTTTTAAATGCTTTAATGCCATATCTCAAAAGCTATTCTAACTTACCTCATTGACAATAGTGGAATACGGTATATCCTCGAAGAGAAAGTCCCAACCATTCTGGCAGGGAATGATTGGTGTGCCGATATCAGGAGGTTCCAGCGTTTCCAAAACTTGTGTCCAGTTTGCGTCAAACATGTTACAGTGATCATATTCGGCGTCCGATGTTTTTGGAATTGATAGAGACCGTCTGGAGTATTAAAAAATGTATTCATAATAAATTTTAATTAGAGTGTTGTTGACACGTTTTGGGCGACCTTAAAGGTGATTATATGTAAAGGAAGCATGAAAATGAAATAAATATTACACTAATAAACGAGGCTTTATTTGAGAAAAAATTATTTACTTGTTTTTACTGATAAATCTAGTAAGTAAATTAAATTTTAGTAAGTTTTATAATTTTAGCTTAAAGCGGCAAAGTTTGCTGGAATAAAATCTAGGTTTAATATACAACTAAGTAACTCATATAAGAACTCTAAAAAGCAAGAGTTTGAAGAATAGTGAATATTGCCACTTAAAAAAGCTTATAAATACATGCGCGAAAAGCATCATCGTTCTGAATTTACCTACTTATAACAAAAAAATTATCAGAAATTACGTCCAATACCTTAAATCTAAGCTAAGTCCTTCTAACTCAGGCACTCGACACCAATGTTCCTGAGGGGTGGCTGTTAAGAACATTTGTCCGAAATATGCAAATGCCCACACAAAACCGAACGGCATCATTGTGAAAAACAGAAACCATTGATAGAGACTGAACTCGCCGACGTGTTTTATAATATTTTCCATTTTCATCCCAATATCGTCATCATTGTCAATTTTATTTTGCTAAAAAAAAAACACCTCGTTTTAAAGTTCAGAATTTTCAGGCATGTTAGTTGAAATATACTATATTTTACCATTGATACATAATAGAGATGATCGATAAAACATGACTTAAAGTATTTGTTATACAAGGCAATTGTTGTAGCGCAGTCTTGCACGTAATTTTTAATGACATTGCTGTACTCACTAAACTAGGTAAAATTCCGATATATTTGTTACATGACTGTACCGGAAAATTGCATGAATGCTAGAATGTTTTTTGGAACAAACATATACAGGTAAGTTTTGGACAAAAGTCATAATCAATTGAATAAATGATTGGAATGAACAGGTCTGCTCGAGTATAACTCCTTATAATCTCACAAATATCAATAATGTGGCATGATAAGTCAGCCCGAAACTAAACTCCAACAACGACCCTTTTATCCCCTTCCCTTTGTCTTCATCCCCTTCCATGGCGAAGAGATGCCTTTGTTTTTACGTGGCTAAGCTACACCAGCCTTATTTACAACATTACTAGTATAAAAAATTCAAGACGAAGTACTACATCAAGAGCTTTCATCTTTTAGAAAAAATAATGCCCAAAAATTAAGATATTTTCTAAACAAAATATTTTACAAACATTAAAAAAATCTGACTCGGCTCACGTGACTGACTTTTATCTTGTAATTTATTAGCACTTTAGGTAATCTAGGTATATAATGCAATTAATATGGGCTTTCCAATCTTTAGTTAAAAGAATTTCTTTCAAGATATGGATATTTCTATATAACTAAATAAGCCTCATTACATTTGACATTTATTATGATGTGATAGCGACATAATCACACAAATACTTAATCTTATAACTCATGCAAAAATTAAATAATTTACAACCAGCTTATAATAGTAGTTAGCCAATATATCAAAATCCGAAAATAGTAATATAAATTATTTTAGATCTCACTTCAATGAATTGTTCATTTTACATTACTGCTGAGTTCTGACACTAAATGCTTGTTTTAAAATTTATGGTAGAAATGTGGGTCAAATATCAAAAGAAAAGTCTATGTGAATACAAAATCTTTTGAAACTTTCAATTCCTATGCATTTTAAAGCACATATGAACAATTTGTAGTAGTTAAGAAAATAAAAAAAAAATAATAAAAAATGTGATTTTGGGATTGCAAGTTATTAGCCAGCGTTAGTCATATAAATTTTTTTTTTTTTGTTAATAATGTTGACAAATATTGACATTAATATTTATACGATACTAACGTCACTCAATTGTTTTGCCTTCCCGGAACCTCTCCACTAACACTTAAACTATATGGTATGGTATTAAAGTTCAAATTGACTTTTAAGTATTATAACGAATCTTTTGTATAGGAGTATAGAAAAGTGTTGTTTTTAGACTTTTTCAAGCAATTTTTTAAATTTTTCTCTCCGTAAGAACCATCCTCGTACTTCAAAAATATTCTAAATTTTTTTTAGCGAAATCGGTTCAGCTGCTCTCGAGATTTGCGCTTACCAAACACATTCAGCGATTCATTTAAAATGCTTTGTCCTGACTGACTTATCGATCAACGCACAGTCTAAGCCGCTGGTCGTACGTGAAATTTGGAGAACATATTTCTTATACAACAATATAGGCATCCGCTAAGAAAGCATTTTTCGAAATTCATCCCTTATAAGGGTAAAGGGGCGTGATAAAGTTTATATGGGCAAATAATTATTTATGATCAGAATTACTTGAAAATCATGCTCCTCAATACAATTAAATAAACATGTATTTTAGTTTTTTTTTAAATTCAGCCCCTAATTGGGTAAAACTGGGCGGTGAAGTTGGAGTTGTTGAATATATTTAAACAGAGCAACATAAGTCAAGCTTCATACGAGTACGTGCACACTTACTGTGTGGATATATAGTAGAGAACGGAGATTATTTCGAACCCAAAGGAAAATTATGTATGACTGCCGAGAGGCTGCCTAAAGGCTGGCCACAGCAGTGACAACTTTAATAGACCTAGAGCGCGAGAGGAAAAATCTAGCTAGAGAGTATCCTGCTATCTATATCCTCCTTCTGAAGATTGGCACAACTGTAATGAAAATGTCACCTAAGCTATGTAACGGAATTGGGCTGTGAGTAATTCGTTAAACATCATAGTGGCCACTGTGTTTGCTGGATGTGCTCGGGGGAATCAGAATTCATACCTCGAATACAAATGATAACTTCTGACTACGCCTTTGAATTTAGTCTATTGTAATTCCTCCTTAAAGTTTGTTTTGCAATGACCATTAATATATCTCAGGGCCAGTCGTTAAAAGTAGCAGGCATAGACTTTTAGATAGTTCCGCTCAGGAAAATAGCAGACCTCAGAACTAGACAGAACATCCATCAGTGTGATATATTTGTGGTTTTTTTGGGGTTTTTAGGGTTTTTGGGGTTTTTTAGTGTAGACTAAGTTAAGTTAATCTAGAGTTTTACTCTAGACATAATATTAAAAAATCGATACGACAACATATAAATTCAATGGAAATTAAAACTGAGCAAAAAAAAACTACAGCAAAATAAGAATGGCTCCTTATATATGTAACTTAAAAAAGAAAGACAAGGAGGGAGACTGTAAGCTTCAGGTGTACATAGCATTGGGTCTTTAAAAATAACATAGATGTCAGCCTATTAGTATGTTAAAAAACCCATATTAGCCGTGTTACATGATTCTAAAGTCGTAAACATGGTATGCGATTGTAACATTGTACTCTCTTCTTCTAACATTGAAAAGATAGAATAGAAGAATGAGTAAAAAATACAGATAGTGGAGCTTACTAAATACCTAAAGTGAAAAACTTACAGAATATGTAATCTATGTTTAACATCTTTTAAGATTATGGATATTTTGAGTTACGATCGATAAAATTTAATTTGTTTTCCTTATATATTTAAGAACACGAAATCTTACACGAACTTAATTTTGCAAATAATAAAGTATGAGTAGCGTAAAAAAATATTATTTTCGTAATATGATCGCGGGCGAAGCCGCGGGTTCTGTTAATTTCTAATGATTATAAATCAGCAAACATACTGACCTCTTGATTTTCCGTTTTCATATTTACATTGTCCACGTCCATTCTAAAATTTTTATTATTTAAACACGTGTCACTAACAATAACGTGACTAGTACTACTAAAAATTAAATAATGATTATTGTCGTATCTTTAGAAGATCATTTTTTTTTTCATATTGATAATGTTATCTAATAATATTTATATGATGTTGGAGACATATCTCCATACTTAAGTATCTCTTATATAAAATTAAATTGTTTGTTTGTATGTTGGATAATGCTAATTCCAATAAAAGCTTTTGCATTTTACAACTTATTTAATGAAAATATATAAAATCGCCTCACTACCATTAGGAGATGAGGAGATACCTCTACTTAGACTATGTGAATGGAGCTGCTCGCAAATACTACTCTAATAAATTTTATTTCAGCATCTTATTCTAGACTTTGAGTTCAGATGGATACTAACAATAAGACACTTCCATCACTCTAAATAACTTTTACTTGATATGTTATTCATTTTTGGTATATCTGCTACAAGCTTTGTACTAATACTTTAAACTTGGCATTAATATTCGTCGACACAATGACCCATTGAAACACGTATTATTTTCGTGTTCGGAAAATGTCAAATTTAAAAAGAGAACAGGGCGATGCCAGGAGAGAATGATAGTTTTATAGAAATGCAAACTTTGCGCCTTTAGTACTTCCATGTATTATATATAGATTTTGATATTCTTAATATTTATTGAGATAACAATTTATAACCCTAATTGATAAAAAAATTATGTGTGCCAGCCGATACAAAGCAAAGCACACCGACTTCGAAAATATTTGATTAGGTATGTATAGTAAATGAAAACTACCAATGAGTTATTTTTTACTTTTTAGTGCTTTTGTTTGAAGTTAGTTTTTATATTTTGTTACAAAGTTTTTATTGTATGTTTGTAACGAATAAACTCAAAAAGAGTGGTCCGATTTAGATGAAATTGGGTTAAAACATATAGTTTTAGACCCTGGGAAGGACATAGAATTTTTATTACGGATTTTTACTACGGAATAAAAAAAAATTGCGATCTTTTATAGATTCGACTAAAGAATCATATACCTAAATAGAATAGGCTACTAGTAATCGGAATAATATTATAAAAACGAGAGTTTGTTTGGATGTATGTATGTTTCTGTATGTGTCAATGTTTCTTATTCCTTATAGATGAAATCTACAGTTCCTATCGTTTAGAAATATGACTGTAGTAACCCATTGGTAATGCGTCTATTTGAAAAAAAAACGTGTGAAGTGGGTTCTAACCCGGATCCCGCAACCCTGAGATGACTTACTTTACGTATTTTCAGCATAAACATTTGTTAATACGGTAAAGGATAAATATATTGATAAAATTTGTACATTTGAGAGAGCCTTATTAGTTATTGAGAAACGTATGAACCGCACCGACTCGCATACATACAACGCATCATAAAAGAAAAACCAACAGTCTGCTTAGCCTCGTTTACCGCTTGTCATAATATTATATTATAATCAATAATCATGACAAAATATCAACAAGCTAGCATTTAAAAGTAAGTTGTGAATTTATCCGCTTAAATATATTATACATATATTTCTGATGACTTCATAACCAATAAGCATGACCCCCTTGATGGAATTCGAGATGTACCTACATGAACTCTTGTTCAAATAAAATGTTTAACATTTGTACCTATGGAACAGCATACCGTGTGAAAGAATTTCTGGCTTTGAAAAAACCTCTTTAAACCTCGTGTACCAATTTGTATTAGCACAGTAATGAACATCATTAGGATTGGCCGGATAATTAAATATCCGGTTATATTGATTCTAGTTAAATGTCTATTCGTACGACGATCATCCGATTACTTTGTATTTACTCGCCCGATTTAATTTCAGTAAAAAACTCTAACTTAACGATAGGTTAGAGTTGTTTTCTATATAAAAGACTACCTCGTTGGTAAAACTTATATTTTATACCTATACAGAAACTTGCGTCTAAAATAATCTATTTAACCTACTTACTGGAGATTAGGGTAGTTATCTTTTTTATATATATTATTTTTACACATAAAAAATTAATACATAAAAATATAATGCGTTTTACAAAATTCATCATAAGATTGGCAACAGCCATGTTTCACTTCGGATATGGCAAGGTATAGTGAAATTGCAGTTACACAGAATGCTATGAAAAAGGAACAGGCGTTTTGCGAGTAACATAAAAATTTTCTTGTAGTCTCTGTCTAGTAGGTTTTTTAGTATTATAGCCTGGAGCAAATTTTTGGTGACAGCTCCCCTTTTTTTGTAACTTTGAGAAATGCATTCATTTGTGAAGACACGAGATGTGGGACTCATCGGCCAAGCCAGTACTACCCACTAAAACCCAACGGAACCTCCCCCGTCTTAATGGGGCGCCGTAGGATCGCTTACGCACTCAACCACGACGCCCGGACGGCAGGTGAAGCAGACCAAAGCAACCATGGGGTTGCTCCATGGTCCACTTTGCTATCAGAGAAGTTTGGTGACAACCCCCTGGGTCGTGTTTGTTGATATATTTTATGGTTTAAAAATATAATATTTCGCCTGGAAAAGGACCAAGGCGTCTCACATAGATCACATAGAGCGGGATCTCCTACTATAAGGTTAGAAATTTATTAAAGAAATTAATACCTACATAATCGAGTTTCCTATAAGTAAACCGATTGTGAAACGAACCATATATGAAAAATATAAGTTCACATTTCCAGTGAAAAGACTAGGTTGTGTACTGTGTAGTTAGGTTGTGTAGTCTGTATAGATAGCGTTCCAATCTAAGTAAAGGTAAGTTACAAAAATAAAATATTTAATATTGCGCATCTAAATACCATCATCGAAATATACAAAAATATTAAGATTGTGTATTTTTAAAATAACAATAATTATTATTCATTAACATACAAAAAATAACTTAACAATTGTTTTGGTATTAATAAATATGATCACACCATTTGTGATCTCAATATACGAACGTAACATGAGTGACATTTGCTTTGACTTGGTTTTGCAAAGAGTGAATCAGTCGTAGTTTTAGTTAATTTATTTCTTTAACTCTTTTCAAATAAATGAGGTGCTAATACTAAATCATTTGTGCTGTGTTAGGTGAAAAATAATAAGTTTAGATGATTGGAAGCGTATAGGAAGTTCAAGTTTGAAAAATTTGTATTTATAATGTAAGTACTGTTGTTTGCATTTATGTGGACTTTATCGTAGAAATTAATTTATTATTGTTGTTAACATGTGATCCAAGGCCGACAAAATGTCTCTACTGTTAATTAGATTAAATTAGTGGACCATATTACTTTAATCAACGCGTTATGATAACGATTTTTAAACCAAACCGAATAACGCATAATCAATTGTTTTTGTTACGAAACGACCTTATTATCATGTGCAAAATAAGTTTCCATACTACGATACATCTACATGTAAGATTTATATCTAGTCTATCTTTTGATTTGTCTCATTCTGGCTATAATTTTATTGTATACTATAGAATAATCTTTTTAAAAATATAATAAAACTATTAATATTTTATTAGACATTATTTCCTTTTTGAACACTTATATTTTAGAGTAGTATTTAGTTATATTTTATTTTCTTATACATATATTTTAAAATTTAACATAAGTTATTATAGAACTACAAATCAGTAATTATTATGCAATATAAATGTGCAAATATCATGAATTTAGAGCAATGGCCTAAGCTTTAATCAAATAGTTGTCATCTACAACACACAAAAAATCGTAGTCAATTTTTTTTTAAAGTAAACTTTTTTAATACTATAACTTCTTGTTTTGTAAGTGTTTTATTATTACATTATCCATGCAAAATAGTTTTTTTTAGGCCTTAGTAATAATTTTGGTGATCTTTTTACTTTTTAGGGCTCCGTACCTCAAAAGGTAAAAACGGATCCTTTATTTTTATTATTATAATTGTATTATGCACAATGATTCAAATCACAATCAGTTGAATATCTCTTTAAATCTATAGTAATATAATGAATTCTTTATTTGCAGATTGAGTATGACATAAGATTTAAAAGTATCAACATTGTAAACTACCCAATGTGAGCTGCTTGTTATAAATTGAGCGCAAAGTAATGCGCTGAAAATGCATAACACATACCAAATTTGCCTTCTGGGCTTCCTGGGCTTGATCACTTTCATTCGGGGAAATGTTATTGTATATACACAGGATCTTCCACATAAGGTGAGTCATTTATTATTTGTGAATGTGCATAAATTAAATAAAAACTATTATGACTAATTGTTCTCATGGTAACCATTTTTATTATCTGACAAATATATAATATTACTATATTCTTTTCGTAATTATGTTCTATAAATATGTGATAGTTATGCCTAACATGCCTTATTTAATTATTGATTTGTCTTAATTTAATTGCAATATTTGCCAAAGAAGTTTTACTTCAACAATGTGTAAAGGTTACATGCACCCATTTTTTTTTTTATTCATTTAGTGTGGTGCTTTTACATTACTTTTAACCAGAGAAAAAATAGGAAGAGGTTCTCAGTTTGACACATATTTTTTATGAATATTTTCTTATATTTTTTTTATTGGATAGGAGACTTCAAAGTTGGTCCCATTTAAATTTGAAAAATATCCACCCCTAAGTAAAAGTAGAAAATATGGGATGATTGATTTTTCATCTGCTGATTTTTTAAAATACATTCTTTTACTTTGCTACTACAATGTCTACACTAAAAATGGAAAAATAAAAACATAAAAAAACTGACTTCATGAAAAACACAAAAAAAAAATAACTGACTGGTAGTTTTCATTTACTATAGACACATAATCAAATATTTTCAAAGTCAGTGCCAACCAATACAAATTAAAGCACACCTAGTATCTATGGTAATAGTTTTTTTAAGCCTGTTTTTATTTATTTTTAAAATAAATTATACTGATAACATATGGTTTTATGATAAAATATTTGTTTTTTTAAAAAGATAGGTATTTTTGTTTGGTAAAACAATGAGGTGACTAATCAGTAAAATTCCTCATGTAGTTTACATTCTCTCTTCATTAGGTTCAAAGTTAAATACATTTTTTTTAACCATTCACCACAAATTATTTCGTATTAAGAGAATATAATTAATTTTTCTCATTATTTTTTCATTATATAATATAAATTCTGTAGGAAATATTATTATTAGATATATAGATGAATAAACAAACCTAAATTATAAAAGTCTGCCAAACTAATAAAATTCTTTAGAATGTTCTGCCATACATATGACTGCTGGCCAACACCCTATGCACTTATAGCACTTATAAAAGGTTAATCACTAGTGTCCGTCCGTGACAATGCATCACCTAAGTTAATAGGCTTAAACAAATACACTGCAATGGAAATAATGTCAAGTGTGGCTTCTCGATGATTCAGTCATGTTTACCCTACAGTTTTTAAAATAACCTTAAGGCTGTTTTTTTTTCTGTGTGCTTGTGTGTGTGAGTGCGCGCGCGCGTGTGTTTGTTTGTTTTATTCAGCCCTTAATACTTTCTTAGATTTACGCGAATGTTTGACATTTTTAAATAAAACTATCTTTTGGGATTATTTCGCGGATTTATTTTAATTTTTGGTTCCCGACGTTTCGAATGCTTTACAGCATCCATGGTCACGGGAAGACTGAGGTGTTACATGTTTTTTTTTGTTTTTTTTTTAATTACACATAGAAAAATTATATGGCTTAAATAATTAATACTATATTTCATATTTTTCTTTATGATTATAAATATAATAATGGCAACACTAAATATAGATCACTAATTAATATTTTTAAAATTGTTATAATTATAAGAATAATAGCAAACATTAAATAAATAATATTCCATATTCAATTATAATTAAAATTATAAAAATGTTTAAAGTTATAAAATATTGCAATGTAATTGGTGCAATTTTCATTTTGTTAATTGTGGGTAGGCTGTCTGTACAAATATACCTTCAAGACATGTAACACCTCAGTCTCTCCCGTGACCATGGATGCTGTAAAGCATTCGAAACGTCGGGAACCAAAAATCAAAATAAATCCGCGAAATAATCCGAAAAGATAGTTTTATTTAAAAATTATTCAGCCCTTCTTAACATCCCACTGCTGGACACGGGCCTCCCTTCAATACGAGAGGGATCAGACTATACTACTATAGTCAATAGACAATTTAGAGCTCCATGCACGTCTAATCAGACAATACTCATTCGTAACACTAATTTTGCATTGCTTTCGATGTATATAAATTTGTTGACAATAGGTTTATTAAAAATTGCGTAATATACGAAATTATTTTAGTTTTGTGAAGTCAAAGCATATATTATTAAATCAGATATGTACACGTAAAATTGCTAATAAAATAATGTCTTAAAATTAGTTTACAGCTACTAATTTCGTAATATAGATTTGCTTGAATCCAGCCTTTCATACTTTTAGCTCTAGATTGTCATTTGAGAACTGTGAATCTAAATATTATTATAAATTGCATCATTCTTGATGCTCATCTTAATGGTGACATAATATTTGTATGTTGAAAGAAAAAAAAGATAAATATTTAGGTTACAAGTATGTATAATGTGTACAATTTATTGTAAAACATATGTACTTGTTTAGTTAATGATATAAACTCGTCAATGCGATAAATATAACTCACAATCAGTATATATATATGTTTGTCTGTTTGTAACTTATGCATTCCTTTTTTTATTCATTCCATTACGATGTAACTTTAGTAAGGTGTTGTATGCATGTCGTTAGGAAAGATTTTATTTTACCTGCGCGGCAAATTTTCAGGAGCGGCAAAATGAAAAGGATAAAAAAATTCTTCGCGTTATCGAAAATATTTTTTGTATTTTCCAAAAAAAAAACTATTTTTTGTATGAATGTTTGTATGTATGGGGGATCAATCATTTCTCAAGTAAGAGTTATGAAACTGAATTATACATATATATTATACTAGCAGAACCCGTGGTTTCGCTCGCGCTAAAACCATAAAATGGTAAGCTTCATACAAACTTTCATCCGCTATTTTACCCCCTTATGGGATGAATTTCGAAAAATGCTAAAACACATATTTAATTAATTGTATTGAAGAGCATTTATACCAGGTTTCAAGTAATTCTGATCATACATATTTCTTTGGATTGTATTATAACGTTTTTTCCCATGGGAAAGAGATAATTTCCCGCGGTAAAAAGCCTCTTTCACTCTCCAGCCCTCCAACTATCTCCACACAATCCACCAAGTCGTTTCGACGTGAAAGAAAGACAAACATACAAACAAACAAACACACTTTCGCATTTACAATATTAGTATAGATATAGATGTACTATAATATATAGTCTATCTATTCCATATTAACCATTAAAATGGACGTAGTCACTTTATACCTAAACAAAACCAGGCGGGTCGCTAAGAATAAATAAATTATTTTTGTTTCCGACTCAATAGTTAATAGGAACTCACCACAGTTAACGAACCGTAGCACCTACTGGTTACATTCACCACATTTTATTATTTTAACTAGCGATTCACCCTCGCCTCGCTCAGGTTCGTCAATAGGTACGTTTTAATGGTTAGTATGAAATAGAAATATTTGAATTTCTCGTTTATTCTATACTATAACATGCATGTATTATACAGAATATAAACCTTCCTCTTGAATCACTCTATCTATTAAAAAAACCGCATCAAAATCCGTTGCGTAGTTTTAAACATCTAAGAATACATAAGGACGGACAGACAGCGGGGAGCGACTTTGTTTTATACTATATAGTGATTGATTAGCTTAACAAAACATTATTAAGTAGGCGATAAGGAGTAATTAAAAAAATTCTATGTAGGTACTAGGTAGATAAAATTTGAACCAATGACCCAGTTTCTGAATTAAAATAAATAATGCTTTCGTCGTATAATCTATATAAAATATATTTAATATAGATTTTAATAGAGTCCAATTGTACATTTAACATTGTTTGAAAAAATTATGTTTGGGATGTAAATTTTAATATAAGACATGTCTACACTTATAAGAATTTTAGTCTGTAGTTTGTTAGCGTATAACTCGTATTTCTTGTTATGTAGGTAAGTGAAAGTATAAATTTTTAATTACTAGCGGCTCACCCTCGCTTCGCTCGGGTTCATCCCTAGGTACGTTTTAATTAGATATAAATAATTATTATCCATGTTAGCCATGTAAATTTTAAATATTTTTCCTTGAATTTTTACGATATTTTAACAATTATTCTGCTATTCGGGGCGGAGACAAATCCTACAAATCAAATGTCATCAAAATCGATCCAGCCGTTCTCGAGTTATACCTAAGTGTTGTAACATACCCGATTATGTTTTATATATAATATATAAAAAAAAACTAAAAAAAACGCCTTTGACCGACTGTTATGTGTGAGACTCGTCAAAACCAATTAATTAAGCCTATTGAAACGTTCCACTATCCTCCTGCCTCTATCGACTGAATAATTCGCTCCTGTTATACTTTAATTTTCAAATAACTTTAATTTACAAAAAAAGTGACAATTATAAGTAGATTAAAAGCTATTAACTATTTTGGTAAAAGTGAGGTGTCTTAAAAACTTGTATTGAGCCCTTTTTTTTAACTTCCCACTGCTGGATACGGGCCTCCCTTCAGTACGAGGGGGATCAGGCCATAGTCCACCACGCTGGCCAAGTGCGGGTTGGCGGACTTTACATGTCTTTTGAAAACTTGCTAGGTTCTCTCAGACATGCAGGTTTTCTCACGATGTTTTCCTTCACCGTTAAGACAAGTGGTAATCATGTTGGAAATGATTCGCACATGAAAATATCAGAGGTGCGAGACCCGGGATTTGAACTTGCTTCACTCGGTTTCCCAAGCGAGCGCGTTACCACTGGACTACCACTGCCTCCTCTTTTTATACCATCATGTTATACAAAGCGGGGTTCGTATTTGTACATATGTACATATTATTACCCGACTGGGTTATGTGTTTGACCTGTATGTATGTCTCGTATGTTCGATTCCATGTTCCCTCATAATTACTAAAGGACTTAACCGATTTTGATGATTCATACTTTGTTACAGTAAGTGGTTTTGTTAAAAACTAAGCAGATATTCTTTTTATAATACTTTCTTATATTTACGCAAATATTTGTCATTTTTAACCAAAAATCTAAATTAATCTGCGAAAAAATCCG